CCGCTCCTGTCCTTCCTCTGCACCTTGGGGGGGGGGAGGGCGCCCCTGCCCTCCCCCTCCACCTGGCCCCCGCCCGCGGGAATGGAACGGTGGGATCGGCAGGGTGAGAACGGCGCTCACAGCACTCACAGCCTTTGGTTTTGCTTCGGTTGGTTTTCTTTTCCTTCATTGATAGATTTAAAAACGCGGAGTTGGAGGTGGTGCTTCGGGCAGAGGCTCTGCGGAGGGGGGAAGGCGCGGCCCGACCTCTGTGCTCGCATGCAATGGGGGGCACCGCTGCCCCCTCCCCGCCCCCCGTGGGCCGATGTGGGGCCGTTCGGTCCTTTTTATTTGCCCCCCCGTCCTTGGGAACGCAAATAGCCCCACAAAACCCCATCCCGCCATACAAAGCCGACCCGCCGTGCGAACCGAAACATCGCCTTCCTCGACGGGAGGAGGAGGGCGAGGGCTGGGAGGGAGGGAGGGAGGGGGCGGCCCCCACCCCACGGCCGCTCTGCCCCCCGGGGCCGCCCCCCGCTTTTCCATGCCGGTTCCCGGCGCCGGGCGCAGCGCCGTTATTGCTCGTAGGAACCACCGCGGCTGCGGAACGCCCCCCTCCGCGCCGCCCCCCGCCCTGCCGGCGCGACGCCGCCCCGCGCCGAGGCTCGGCTCAGCCCCCCGCACAACGCGCGGACCCGCACCGCGTGCGCCCTACGCGGGGCTGCGCTCGGGGGGGGCATCGCCGGCAGTTACGGCCACCGCGCTCTCCGTGTCCGCCCGCAGCCCCTCCGCCTCCCTCCGCAGATGCCCGTACAGCCGCTCCTCGATGCCTCCCGCTATCTTGTCCAGCAGCTCCGCGTCGGGACGCGGCTCCACGCACCGCCCCGGTCCGAGGCATTCCTCCCCGCCTCCGCGCTCGGGCCCGGTCCGGTGCTCCTCTCCGGGCTCCTCCACGATCACCTGAATCTCGGGTTCGGGCAGCGGAGCGGCGCCGGATTCCGCCTCGGCCGCCTCTTCGTCCCCGGCGCTGACGATGCGGGGCAGCGGCCCGTGGAATCGGGCGTCCAGCGGGGAGTTGGCGCTGTCCCCGCGACGCAGAGGGGTGCGGTGCCGTTCCAACGCGGGGTACCGAACCCCCGGGTCGCTGTACTGCTTGGCGTGCTGCCACTGCTTGCGGAGGTGCGTGCGGGAGCGATGTTTTCCGCGCGGCGGGGATTCGTCGAACTGCGGGTCGTGCCGCACGAAGGCGTTGAACAGCGCGTCCGTCTTCTCGTCGATGCTGTAATCCCTCCTCGGCGACGGCGCGTCCCGGCCCGCCAGCATCTGCCCGTAGGGTGACCAGGCCAGGGGGCTGTGGGTGCGCACCGGAACCCCCCCGCCCACCGCGCCGCGCCGCGCTTCCTCCTCCTCCTCCTCCTCGTCCTCCTCCTCCTCTTCCTCGTCGGGCTCGCGGCCCTCGAAGCTCTCGAAGATGGTGCCTTTCCGCCCGGCGCTGGTGAAGCAGATCCGTTTCTCCGACGCCGTTTGATCCGCGGGCGGCCCCTCCTCGCTCCCCCGGCCCGGCGCCTCGATGGAGGCGTAGCCGCTGTCCATCTGCAGCAGCTTGCGCGTGCCGGGTTCCGAATCCTCCGCCTTGGGCCGGGCCCAGAGCTTCTCCTCGGGGCCTTCGGCCTCGTCCAGGGAGGAGGAGGGGCAGGGGGCCGCGCCGCCCGACGAGACGCTGTCCGCGCCGTCGCTGCGCACCGAGTCCTGGTCGTTGCTGCGCTCCGACGCGGCGTACAGCTCCAGCGAGGCCCGAAGGCTCCAGATGTCGTGGCCGACGCTGCGCTGCTCCGGGGCCGCCGCCTCGCTGGGGCTGTCCTCGCCCGGTTCTAACCTGGGTTTGGGGCGGGGGGGGGGGTGGCGGGGTCACGGCGGGGACGGCTCCCATCGCTGTGATGTGGACCCCACCGCCCCGCCTGGTGCCCACACGAACCCGTCGCCCCCAAAAAGTGGAACACCGCCCCCCCCCCCCATGCCCCGGGCCCCCCCCCCCTCCCAGTCCCCTCTATCTACTGAAAAATACCTGCCGAGAGAGGGAGGGGGGCTGCTGGGGGAGGGCAGGAAGGGGCCGCCCGCGGGGTGGAAGGCGACGTCGTCGGTGTGGGCGATGTATTGGATGATGTCGGTCTGGTGGGGGTCGCGATCCTCCTGGTCCATGCTCTCACTGGCTGCACGCTGCCGCTGGAACTGGCGGCGCTTGGGAGACCCTGCGGGGGTGCAGGGTGGGGGGGGAATAGTCGCATCCTTGCAGAGGGGCGCAGCCCCCCCCCCCTCCCCACTTGGCTCCCCCGGCCCCCACCTCTCGTGTCCAGGCTGGATGCCCGCTGGGTGCTCTCCAGTTTCCATTTCTTGATCCTGAAGTACGGGCTGGCCCCATCCAGGCTGGCGTGCCGGCGCAGGCGGGTGAAGAACTGCAGCACCGGACCCTGCGTAGGGGCTGGGGGGGCATCCCCAGGGCTGGCACTGACTGCAATTGGCCCCTTCCCGCTTCGGGGCGCTGCGGTGAACTGAAGGTGTGGGGGAGTCGTGAGCGGTGGCTCAGCCATGGGAGCAGCCATGCACAACCCCGGCCCCACACTCACCGAAGGGCCCTCCCCAGAGTCGGAGGAGGTGGCGGGGCTCCCTCCCGCTGTGGAGTTGTAGGTGTCCCCGGGCAGGGCTGAGCTGGGGCACACGGTGTGGCTGGGCTGCGGCACGGCCCCTCCAGGGGGCTGTGGGCAGAACGCATCAGGGGCTGCACAGAGCTCTGCGCCCACAGCCCCATCCCCATGCCGCCCTTCAGCCCCCATCCAGGCGATGCCCACCCCCCCCCAGTGCCCACCTGGAAGATGGCGAGGCCGGGTTTGGGAGGGGGCCGGCGGGGGGTCATGGCCAGGTTGTTCTCGCTGGACTCGCACTCATGGATGGTGACGATCTTAAGGGCGGGCGGTGGCAGGTGGAGGTGCGTCAGGCGGGCGTTCTTCAGGTGGTGGAAATCCCCCTCTGTCAGCGTGTACCTGGGGGGCACAACGAGTCACGGGGCGGCCCCACAACCTACAGCTTCTCCCCCGCCAGGGCCCCCAGCCCTCACCTCCTCCCCTTCTCCTGGGTCTTCTTGCCCTGCTCATACAGCGCGGCCTCGTTGAAGGAGACGCGGCGTGCGCTGGAGGAGCTGGAGGACAGGAACCGCTCGCTCTCTGCATCGCGGTAACTGGAGGCCGACAGGCACTCGGGGTCCTCCACTTTGATAGTGATATCTATGGAGAGGAAAGGGAGGGCTCAGCCAACAATCCCCCATGGTGGCACAGCTGAGGCTGCATGAACTCACTGCACTGCTGCGTGCCGGCGGCTGGGACTCCCAGTGAATAGGGGACAGCCCAGGACCCGCTTTGCCACCCCCCTGGAAGCAGCATCACAGGTGGGGGGGCACTGATCCCCACTGCTCACCCTGGGCCTGCTGCGAGTCATCCAGGTACGTCGTGGTGGTTTTCTCAGGGTCATCGCTGGCTCTGCGGAGGGACCGGCGGTCAGAGCTGCCCCGTGCCAGAACGAACCGTAGCAGCACCACAATGGGTGCCGCAGCCACGAGGTGCCACCGGCCTTGGGGACACAGTGGCCTGTCCCACCCACCTGGAGTGGCGGCGGTCGGCCTCGCAGCAGCGGCGACAGATGATCAGGATCCCTGAGAGCAGCACCAGCGTTCCCCCGATGAAGATGGAGAGCAGGGCGAGCAGCAGCACGTAGCCATCCTGGGGGGACACCTCGCCGGGCAGCGCCTGCGCAGGGCAGGGAGAGGTGAGATGCTGTGCGGGGGGGACACGTACTTTTTTCTGGGGAGGGGAGGGGGGGGGG